TCCTAGAGCAGAAAGAAAACTCATCTTACAAGCTTTAAGCACTGCTCTGCTGGACACTGATAGAAGTCACAAGACTGCTATATACTGCTGATGAGAAAAAAGCATTTAGCAGTATATTTTTATTTGTGTGTACTGTGGGGGACCAGATGTAGTGAATGCAGGGACCGGGGAGAGCGGATATAGTGAATGCGGGGTCCGGGGAGAGCGGATATAGTGAATGCAGGGTCTGGGGAGACCGAATATAGTGAATGCAGGGCCCGGGGAGACCAGATATAGTGAATGCAGGGTCCGGGGAGACCGAATATAGTGAATGCAGGGTCCAGGGAGGCCAGATATAGTGAATGCAGGGTCCCTGGAGACCAGATATAGAGAATACGGGGTCCGGGGAGACCAGATATAGTGAATGCAGGGTCCGGGGAGACCAGATATAATGAATGCAGGGTCCGGGGAGACCAGATATAATAAATGCAGGGTCCGGGAGACCAGATATAGTGAATGCAGGGTCCGGGAGACCAGATATAGTGAATGCAGGGTCCAGGAGACCAGATATAGTGAATGCAGGGTCCGGGGAGAGCGGATATAGTGAATGCAGGGTCCGGGGAGACCTGATATAATGAATGCAGGGTCTGGGGAGAGCGGATATAGTGAATGCAGGGTCCGGGGAGAGCGGATATAGTGAATGCAGGGTCCGGGGAGACCAGATATAGTGAATGCAGGGTCCGGGGAGACCAGATATAGTGAATGCAGGGTCCGGGGAGAGCGGATATAGTGAATGCGGGGTCCGGGGAGACCAGATATAACAAATGCAGGGTCCGGGGAGACCAGATATAGTGAACGCAGGGTCTGTGGAGACCAGATATAGTGAATGCAGGGTCCGGGGAGAGCGGATACAGTGAATGCAGGGTCCGGGAGAGACCAGATATAGTGAATGTAGGGTCCAGGGAGAGCGGATACAGTGAATGCGGGGTCCGGGGAGAGCGGATATAGTGAATGCAGGGTCCGGGGAGAGCGGATATAGTGAATGCAGGGTCTGGGGAGACCAGATATAGTGAATGCAGGGTCCTGGGTTCAGTAACATAACTGTTTCAAATCAAAATGGAAAACATTTGTCTTTACAAACCTTCACCCAAATGTTCCTCTTTTGTCCTTTTCTTGTGTATCATTTGTTATTTTTGTTTTTTTTTTATAAAGTAATTTCATTTCATTCTCCAGGTTCTGTGCTTTCAGAAAACGTACATTTGTTTATGGGCTTGTTCTTTACAGCAGGCAATTCTCTCTTAGGCAATAGTAATCCTAGCGGCTATACAGCCGCTGGATTACTTTTACAGGCGGCTGAAGGGGGTCCCTCCGCTGCTACTTTACCGGGCTCTCCTGTCCAATCAGAGAGCTCAGAAAGCATGCGACTGGCGGCATTGGCTTCCCTGTACACAGTGAGAAGAACTGATGCTGCTCCTCCTTACTGTGTGATGTCAGAAACAAAAAGCAACGAGGATTTGGTCAAGCCTTTACAAGCTTGTGAAAGCATCTGATCAAACTGAAATGTGTTTGGATCTGAGGCTTTGGAGGGCAGAGGAGGCATATGGGGTCTAACAGACCCCAGATTTCTCCATAAAGAGGACCTGTCATGTCCCGTAGCTACCACAAGGGATGTTGTTCATCCCTTGTGATAGCAATAAAGTTGATCTATAAAAAAAATAAAAAATTAAAGTGCCCCCCCCTCCCCCCAATGATTATGCATAAAGGCTACAGTGGGCATTGGTCCCACACTCATATGTAACTGGCAATCGCACCACACATGTGAGATATCGCCATGAACACCAGAGCGAGAGCAATCATTCTTTGTGTAAGTTGAAACCTGTAACCTGTAATGGCTTTTAAAATGTCACCTATGGAGATTTTTAGGTGCCATAGTTTGGCGCTGTTCCACGGGTGTATGCAATTTTAGAGCATGACATGTTAGGTATCTATTAACTCACCATAACATTTATTTTTTTGCCAGAAATTGGGTATTATATTGTGTTTGTGTTCACTGAAATTCATTAAAATGGTTCTAAAGGCCCAATATTTTTTCTTAAACCTCATGTATTCTATGTATGAAGGTAAAAAAAATCTTCTGTGTGCAGCAGCCCCCCCCCCCCAATACTTACCTGAACCCCCTCTCGATCCAGCAAAGTGCATGAGAGCACTTACCCTCCCTGGTCTTTCCCTCCTTATTGGCTGAGAAGGCAGCTGCCATTGGCTTCTGATGCTGTCAATCACAGCCAGTGAGCCAATGAGGATAGAACGCGGGAGGGGGGGGGTGCAAGCTGCTCTCTGTGTGAACTGACACACAGATGAGTGGCTTGAGAGCCATTTCAGGTGCCCCCATAGCAAGCTGCTTGCTTTGGGGGCACTTGGCGGGAGCCAGAGCGTCAAGAAGGGGAGGCTTGGGGTTGCTCTGTGCAAAATCACTGCACAAAGGTGATAAGTATTACATTTTTTTTTGTAATCTGCCTTTACTATCATGTCGAAAGGCAGCACAATGGATAAGTGGTTAGCACTTCCACCTAACAGCACTAGGGTTGCTGGTTCAAATCCCAACCACAGCACCACCTGCCTGGAGTTTGCATGTTCTCACTGTGCCTGCGTGGGTTTCCTCCGGGTATTCTGGTTTCCTCCCACCCTCTAAAGACATGCTGGGAGATTAATTGCATCCTCTATAAATTGTCCCTAGTATGTGTATGTATGAATGTGAGTTAGGGACCTTAGATTGTACGCCCCTTGAGGGTCAGGGACTGATGTGAATGTACAATATATATGTAAAGCGCTGCGTAAATTGACAGCACTATAAAAGTACCTGAAATAAATAATAAAATCCTGAAAATGTGCGCTGAGCAAATATCGTGTGACATAAAAAATTGCAAAAACAGCTATTTTATGCTCTGCTTAAATATATATATTTATAATTTAGGGGTTTTTAAGTAATCTTCTTACAAAAAATATACATTTTTCCACGTCTGAGATAAATGTCAGCATTGGCTGGACTGGAACTAGTTACAGGTGATATACGAAATACAACTTTCCTCGCCAAGAAAGACCCCCTACCTCCAGACCCTCTGCCTTGGCACAGGAACTCACTAATCAGTTATGCAGATCAGCTGACTTATTTATGCACTGTTTATTATTTAGTTTTGATTTGCTACATTTTCTTTTTAGAGGGTTTTTTTTTTTCCTTTTCCTTATTTCTCAAAAATCGAACATTTCTGATCTACGTTGTAATTATTATTATTAGACATGATGGCTCCACATGAGCGTCTTCTTCGCTCTCTTCTCTCTTCCTAGTCCTACAGGAAAGCTGAACAAGATGTAAGCATTCCAAGCCTCGTTGTGGTTTCCTCCAGGATAGGAGGGGAGGGGGGGGGAACCTGGAAATAAAAGGGAGAGTGTAGAATGTACCACAACTGGAAGAACTCATTGTGTACTGAGGCTGGGAGGATGTGTCAGCTGGATGGGACTTTTTTCTAAGACAGTCAGTGAGCTAAAGTTCACTTTCGCTTCCGGACGAATTAACTTCACTTAGGTTGGATCATCTCCCATCGAAGGACGGTAAGAATTTTGCAAACAATTTCTATCTGATAAGACCACGAAGCTTTGACCACCAATGGCTAGAAGATCTGAAGTTCAGACTTTAGTATTAAACCCTCAGTTATGAGTTCTTTTCCTCCAGCTTTTTCTTACTCGGTGCGCTTAAAATATAATTTTCTTGAATTTGGCCCCAAACACGTACTTTAGCTGTTGTGAAGATCTCCAAAGGCTGGCCAGGCATGGGTAGAATTTTGTTTGAATGTTTGTATGGAAATTTAGAAAAAAAGTTTGTCAGAGTATTTGATCAGTGACTTGACCAGTTTTGTTGACCACTTTAAAACAGAAGTAAACCGCATGTAAAAAAACAGGAAATCCCCTGCAAGGTAATGTCATAATGTATTAGTAGGCATTGCATACTAGCACATTATGAAGGACTTGCCTAAAAACGAAACCCTCCAGTGGCACGCTGTTACTGCTGCAGAGGCTTCCATCTTCACCCGGTCTTCCTTCCGGGTTTGCGGGCTTCGGCTGTTTGACTGGCCAAGCCGTGATAACATCACTCCTGAGATTATGTCCTGAGCCATGGCACAGTACTCTGAAGGAACGACATAGGTAAAAATTTCTGTCTGATAAGACCACGAAGCTTTGACCGCCAATGGCTAGAAGATCTGGTGTTCAGACTTCAGTTTTAAACCCTCAGTTATGAGTTCTTTTCCTCCAGCTCCTTCTTACTAGATGCACTTGAAATATAATTTTCTTGAATTTAGCCCCAAACACGTACTTTAGCTGTTGTGAAGATCTTCAAAGGCTGGCCAAGCATGGGTAGAATTTTGTTCGGACGTTTGTATGGAAATTAGAGAATAAAAACTGTTTGTCACAGTATTTGATCAGTGACTTGACCAGTTTTTGGTAACCACTTTAAACCGGAAGTAAACCGAAACAGAAAATCCCCTGCAAGGTAATGTCATAATGTGCTAGTAGGCATCACATATTAGCACATTATGAAGGACTTTCCTTAAAACGAAGCCCTCCAGCGGCACGCTGTCACTGCTGCAGAGGCTTCCATCTTCACCCGGTCTTCCTTTTGCGGGCTTCGGCTGTTTGACTGGCCAAGCCGTGATAACGTCACTCCAGAGATTATGTCCTGAGCCATGGTACAGTGCTCTGAAGGAACGGCATGGGTAAAACTTTCTGTCTGATAAGACCACGAAGCTTTGACGGCCAATGGCTAGAAGATCTAGAGTTTAGACTTCAGTATTAAATTCTCAGTTATGAGTTCTTTTCCTCCATCTCCTTTGTACTCGGCGTGCCAGAAATATAATTTTCTTGAATTTGGCCCCCAACTCGTACTTTAGCTGTTGTGAAGATCTTCAAAGGCTGGCCAAGCATGGGTTGAATTTTTTGTTCGGACGTTTGTATGGAAATTAGAGAATAAAAACTGTTTGTCGCAGTATTTGATCAGTGACTTGACCAGTTTTTGGTAACCACTTTAAACTGGAAGTAAACCGAAACAGAAAATCCCCTGCAAGGTAATGTCATAATGTGTTAGTAGGCATCACATACTAGCACAATATGAAGGACTTTCCTTAAAACGAAGCCCTCCAGCGGCACGCTGTCACTGCTGCAGAGGCTTCCATCTTCACCCAGTCTTCCTTCTGGGTTCATGGGCTTTGGCTGTTTGACTGGCCAAGCCGTGATAACATCACTAAAGAGATTATGTCCTGAACCATGGCACAGTACTCTGAAGGAACGGCATGGGTACAAATTTCTGTCTGATAAGACCACGAAGCTTTGACCACCAATGGCTAGAAGATCTGGAGTTCACACTTTAGTATGAAACCCTCAGTTATGAGTTCTTTTCCTCCAGCTCCTTCTTACGCGATGCGCTTGAAATATAATTTTCTTGAATTTAGCCCCAAACACGTACTTTAGCTGTTGTGAAGATCTTCAAAGGCTGGCCAAGCATGGGTAGAATTTTGATTGGACGTTTGTATGGTAATTAGAGAATAAAAATTGTTTGTCACAGTATTTGATCAGTGACTTGACCAGTTTTTGGTAACCACTTTAAACCGGAAGTAAACCGAAACAGAAAATCCTCTGCAAGGTAATGTCATAATGTGTTAGTAGGCATCACATACTAGCACATTATGAAG